CTTCAGCTCCAGTCGTGACGAAATGTTAGATTTATTGCCACATACCGATGGATCCACCATTAAAAGAGGGCAGAGAACAGAAGAACTGATTCTTCCCCCCCCCACCATCTTTCATAATGTTTCCACACACCATAATCCCATCCAAGCCCATGTTAAGCCAGTCTGGTAACCCCCCCTCCTTGTCTAGTCAAGACAACACACATTAGTGATAATAGCTCTGAAACTCTGCCGCTCTCCTGCCTCTTAAAGATGATGCCTTAGCTTGGATGCAGACGAGCGTCACCGCGACTGGAAATGAGATCTAACACCTCAGCATTGTCAAATTACAAGACCTTTCTCCATACTTTCAGACTCAGCATGTGTGTGTGTGTGTGTGTGTGTGTGGGTGTGTGTGCGCGCATGAAAACCGCATGTGATGGGAGTGGGTTGTGTGTGTGATGCGGCTGAAATGCAGGCTCCAGCATGTACTTCACTACAGCTTGTGAGGAGCTCCTCTTCCCAGCTATTAGCGTCTCTCCGTTAGGACGCAGGTCCCAACAAGTCCTGCACAATGCATCCTTCCCTTACTTTCCAAATACATCATTCACAGCCACATCACCATGCTTTCTCTGCCAAGCAATGAAATCTGGGAAAACTCACTTGATACACACGTGTAGGCCTCTAGAGAAGAGTCTACAGATCAAACAAATATGGGAATTTATGCTTAAAAGTTGTTGGAGCAAATAGATATATTTGTACCCCTGGCAGAGTTAAGTTAAAAGAAATCTCTTATTTAGTAAAATAATTGTCAATTAGATAAAATGTAGAAAAAACTCCTTTTATATAGTTTTTGCAATATTTCTTTTAGGATCCCTGTCTCATTTCCTGACGGAAATAAAGTTCTTGGTTGAATAAAAATTTTAAATCTAAATTCACCAGAGGGATGAATAACTTGGCACTTAACCACATACATAATCAGTATTTTATTACTAACATTTACAAGTGATGGACTGTGGTGGCCAGGTCAGTTTCTTGCATTAACATCACTCCAGGAAGCTGCTTCCTGCTGCCCCCGCTGCATGTTACAGGATGTTATTCAAATTCCTCAAAATGTCTAAGTTTTTGGTTTTCACAAATGCAGTCAATGATTTATGAAATGCAAATTGAGGGTAGAGTAATTTCGCCCGTTTTTGCATATATGTTATTTTAAATTGGTCTTATTTTTTTTCTGTCAGTTTATGTAAAGCATAAAAGTGAAAAGAAAATAATTAACTAAGACTACAAATAGTCTCTTTTCCATTTTGATGTACAATTACAAAGCAAGTGAAAATAGCCATTCTACACTATGTGGATATGTAAAGTATCCACACTCTATGGTGATTCTAAGTGTGAGTTTGAAGGTGCACAAGCTTTTTTTTTATATTTGTCAGCTGAATTTGCAACAGGCATGCTGCTGCTTGTGTACATGGATGATGGTCTGGCAATTATCACCTTGTCTGCAGGAGCCTGTCCTGACCTGCCTTCAGTGGTCCTCTATGCAGAAGAAAGGATGGATTCCTCAATCTGTGGCAGCGCTTTTTAAAACTGACCGTGTTTTTTTTTTTTCCTCGGCTATTATAAATGTCTCTGGTTCAGTTTTATGAACAGTATGCCACTAAAAGAACAACAAAGCTTAATTTGGTACAATGTTTGTTGCTAAAAATGGTATTAAATGCTACTAAAGAATGAATCTACAGCACAGTGGGTAAAAAAGAACATTTTACATGAAACTATTGGCATTATTTTCATTTGTGACAAGTTTGTCAGCTGACTATAATTTGGAACGGTTTGTGTTAAGATAATTAAAAAGGAAAAATATAACATTTATCCTAATTTTACCCTCTTTTTACCAATCCTAATCAATTTTCTTTTTTTTCTCTCCAACATTATCTCCTCCCTTCAGTACTCTCTGTGATCTGAAATAAAGCTTGGTTTAGTCATCGCTCATAATCTCTTGTCTGTACATGAAGATACAGGAGCTGCAGCAGATTCTTGTTTTTTTATTATTATTGCTTGCCCTATGACCACAATAATTATCCAGTGTGTGTCAGTGTGTGTGTGTGTAGGTGTGTGTGGGAGAGAGTTTATATACTGGTGACCACAATAAGGAGCAAAATATACTCTGGAAGGATAAAAACACAAAAATTTTTACCATTTTTCCTTTTCATAGTTATTACATTTTATATTTGGTCAGACTAATTTAGAAAAAAAAAACTTTGCTGCTGAAATCAGCTTTACGTAACCATACGTACGGGAGACAAGGAGTAGTGAACTGCAGAATCTCTGAGACAAAAGCACTTTTTTTTATTTCACATTATATGAACCACTTAATTATTTTTTTCTTGTAGATTCCTTATTATCTTTTAAATCACGTGGGGGATCCTGAAAACGTACAGAAATGAAATTAATAGTATCGAAATGCTGAAAGTGTGAAAAAATACGAGACTTTGTTGGAAAAACAAAACCGGTTGAACAAAATCTAAAGACATATATTCTGATTACTGGTCACTTATTACAATCTGATTTGAGTTCAGTCAAGCCATTAAAAACTCATTTATTGTTAATTTTAAGATCAGTAAAAATAATTTCTACAACATAGAACACAGTCACCACATCTGATACCATCTTTAGTATTTAACTTACTGCGCTTTATGATTTCTCGACGGTTCATTTTCTTTGATCCTTCACATTTATGTTCCATTAATTTCTGTCGGAAAGCAAACCAGTAGTTTGAACATGAAAAGTTCAAAATTCGGTAAATAAAATGAAACGTATTTATTTGCAGTATAGAGGGGCTGTTGAGACTTGTTAGGGAAACTTAGGTGGAGTAACATTGTGCACAGGTATTTCCATCGTTGCCATTGCTCATGGCTAAGGGCATGTGTGTGCAGTTTGGTTGTCAGGCCCCTCTTACCTGTGTATATGGATGTGTGTGAAATGAACAAAGAGGGCATTTTATGGGTGGGCTGCTGTTTTAGAACAACCCGTCATAAGTCGGCATAAGTTGGCTTAATTATGCTGCTTGGTATGAAGTTGGTAGCAGTGTTGCAGTAAGAAGGCCCAGGGTTCGAATCCTAGTTTATGGTTTTCTGCCTGAAGTTTGGATGATCTCCCTGGTTTCTTTCCAAGTGCTCTGGCTTCTTCCCATAGTTCAAAAACATCATTGTTAGGTTACCTGGTTAGTCTAAGTGGCCTTTATGTGTGAGAATGTGTTGTCGGTTGCTTATCCTATGTGTCGCCCTGTGACGGACTGGCAACCTGTCCAGGGTGTGCCCCACCTCTCACCCAATGACTGTCGGAGTTAAAAGCTCAAAAGCACAGCAACTTTTCAGTAAGACGTTAATCTTTCTTGCTGCCTGCTGAAAGTCTTGATCTCTTCCCCTGTCTTGCAGTCTGAATGAAATGTAGACACGACTTCACATTTCACAGAGTTTTCAATAAAAAAGTTTTTTATGTTTCTGTGATTTATCCATTTTTCTTTTTTTTACTCTTTTGTTTCCTGGAGAAAGGGCATCGACGCAGAAGAGTTGTCAACTCAACCTTGTAAACTTTACAAGCGGTGTTTTGCGTGCTCATACAAAAATCAGACTTTTGAGGTAGTGAGTGTCACTAGGACTTTACCACTCTAGACTACATCTGTTATTAGACCCAAAATGTCTCAAAAATGCATTGTTCATAAAACTCCACTTCCAAGATGAAACAGTAGGCCGGTCCTTGTAATGTAAAATGACTACTATTATTTTTGGAATTTGTCAAATGATTCACTTTTGAAAAGATTATCACTGGAAAATAATAGGTAGAGAGGAATCGTAGCTGTTATTTTACATTTACAGATTTCATCCAGAGCAACTGGATGAAATCTATTAATTCTGTGGGTCTATTAATGTTTTTTTTTTTTTTCTTGTCTTCCATCTATAAAATAAGACCAGATTCCACCCTCATGTTTTTGTATGCTACATTACAGATCTAGAGCTGCATGTACTTTATCCCTCCTCTGGGAGGTGCTATTTTATTTGCTTTTTAGCACATCATGGCATGTCTGTACAAGCCTGAACAGACTTCTTAGATTTTTTTTCCTGGAAGGTTGTAGATTGAGTTGTGACATGCTGAGCCTGTTTTATTTCTTGCTAAGTATTTTTATGCACGTATTTCTGCCACTTACACTCTCACAAGCATGTGTGTACATGTGCAGACGATTGTAAACTAAGGGATTGCAAAAGATTTGGCTTTAACACGATCAGCATATATTCTTTTTGAGTTTTTTTTTTGTTAAGAGAGATCAACTTGAACGACTTAAGAGAAAAACATTGTTTAGTCCGCTGATTTCCAGTTGTTTTTTTTTATACTTCTGGTCATAGAGTATGGCCTCCGCAGTCTGCGGTTCACGAACAAATCCAGTCAGTATTCTGTAATTTATTTCTAGTGATAGGCTTACATCAGATCACATATTTTTAAAATAATCTTCAGGTAATAATTGGTTAACAGTTCTATTTGTTTCTTTCCCTGCAGAATCTTGTTCTCGTTCATATTTGCGTCAGACATGTTCTTTTGTTTTTGCTGGTTTGTCTGCACTTGCATTCAGTTTTTCAGTCAGTGAATTAATTTCTCCACACTTTGAGACATTTTTGCGACAACAATGCTATTAGTGCACTGTGCTAATTTCACTCATTGGCTGTTATAATGCCGTGTGTCTGTGCAATCACTGTGACTGTTGCTTATGTGTAAAACAGTTTCACATTCAAAATGCATTCAATGTAAGATGCAAGTTTGCTTTCAAAAAGAAAGAAAAACATGCTGTCATGTTACAGATGTTAGTATAACATATCAGTTGAATTGTTCCTAGAATATGTAACTTGGAAATCACTTTCATTTCTGGTCATTCATTTTCAATTTCCTTTCTTTTTTTTTTCTTAAAAACTCAATATTATTGTTACTATTATTATTCTATGGGACTAATTTCTGGTATCTCTTTCTTTTTCTAGTACTCTCCTTTACTGAAGAAACTCTACTGTCAGATTGCCAAAACCTGCCCAATCCAGATCAAGGTGTCGTCCTCTCCTCCTCATGGTAGCATCATCCGAGCTATGCCCGTCTACAAAAAGGCAGAGCACGTCACAGAGGTCGTCAAAAGGTGCCCCAATCACGAACTTGGACGGGAATTCAATGATGGTATAACAAAGCACGCTTTACATTTCACATGACATCATAATATTATGCGAAATGTAAAAGAAATGTAGCAATAAAGCTCAGTTTTGTTTATTAGCTCAGTTCAATTGGTTGATTTTGAGCTGATGTCACAGTAGTCACTTCAAGGGATTTATACTGAATACGCTGTGTTTGGACGCAAGTCAACAAACTAAATGCTTACTGTCCCCTCAGGTCAAACAGCTCCAGCCAGTCACCTGATCAGAGTAGAGGGAAACAACCTTTGTCAGTATGTGGACGATCAAGTCACTGGCAGGCAAAGTGTCTTTGTGCCCTATGAGGCTCCGCAGGTTGGTGCTTCAACATTTCCGTGAATAAGTGAGACACACGATGAAATGCATTTAGTTGGATGGATGAGAACTGAAAACACACAGCCAAGAAATGTGGAGATGAATAGAAAGACATCATCTGTATAAAGGGAAACTTTATGTTCATTGTGATTTCTCTAAATTATCACATATCCTCTTTAAGTTATGTACTTTTAGTAAGTTCTTGTGACAGGAAAGTCTCAAAGATGTTAAATGAACAGGAAAGGAAGAAAAAAGCAAGTGAAAATATGTGGCAGTCTTTGAATGCTTTTGTATTTTCTACTGAAATTAGAAACAAATTAAAATTCACAAGTCGCTTAGTCAAGATCATTGCGGAGAAAAAGAGAATTTCACTCAAGTCCCTCGAAGTAGGCACATCTATAAATAAAGCTTCCGGGCGTGTGCAGACATGAACGGGCATCATCATGTCTGTGATTGCACCTGTGGAGGGCAATAAAAGACACGATTGTCTCTTCTCACATCAAAGTGCACTACAACACCTCCCCCTGGTGGTTAATTAATGTTATGAACGTAACAGCTTGAGGAATAATTTTGAAACTTTTCTGAAAGTGTCAGACAGACTAAGACAGTTTAACCTAAATATGTTGTGCTGTGTTTCAGGTTGGGACTGAGTTCACTACCATCCTTTATAATTTCATGTGCAACAGCAGCTGTGTGGGTGGGATGAACAGGAGACCAATTCTCATCATCATTACTTTGGAAACCAGAGAGTAAGTCATTGACACAAGACTCCCCACGATAGCTCTTCTTTTAAATTACACTGCATTTAGACTTAAATGTGTTGATCTAAGTCTAAATGCTCTTTTGATGGTTATGTAAAAGTCAAAGTGTTGACAGGTCTACAGCAGAGCAGAGCAGAGGAGAAACTTTTCAGTTCTTCTACTGTCATTTTAATTCAGTTTATATTGGACTAGTTAAAGTTTTGCCAGCAAACATGTTCAATTCTGTGATTGTCTCCGTAGTGGCCAGGTGTTGGGCAGACGATCATTTGAGGGTCGGATATGCGCATGTCCTGGCAGAGACCGTAAAGCAGATGAGGACCACTTCAGGGAGCAACAGGCCCTGAATGACAGCGTGGCCAAAAACGGAAGTGCCAACAAGCGCAGTGAGTTGATAAAAACGAATAATGTTCTATGTGCTGCTGAGACATTTCAAACGTCAAGAGTGGCTTTAAATTTTTTTTTTTTTTTTTTTTTTTGAGTTTTTAAACCTCAATGACATTGTTTTCTGATGTTTTGCAGATTTTAAACAGAGTCCGCCAAATATTTCCAGTCCACATATCAACATAAGAAAAAGACGGCATGGAGAGGAAGAGATTTACTATATTCCTGTAAGAATTACTTTGACAGATTTTTCATAAATGAAAACCTTTTGTCTACATCTGATCTTTTAGCAATGTAAGCTGTCATGTTACGTTGTTATGACACAGAAAATAATTGCTCTGGATTTTTAAATCTTATTTTATCTATAACATTCCCAGCATAAAGTTGAAGTAAACTGACCTAAAACTAAAAACACAATTTTAAAGGAATTTACACTTTTCATAAATACCAGTAAAAAGGAAAGGTCTCAAGCTCAGGTATTCCTTAGTTCTTGGTGTGCTTGGTTTTAGCACCCCCTGCTGTACAAACTGGACTCTGACACCTCTTAAATGTGATAGTAGTTTGTCAATGGTACTGACTATTGATCATCATTATTGCTGATGCTGTCTTTGTGTGCAGGTTCGTGGGCGGGAGAATTTTGAGCTGCTGATGAAGATTAAAGATAGTTTGGAGCTGGTGGAGTTGGTACCGCAGCCTCTGGTGGACTCCTATAGACAACAAACACAACAACAGCTGCTGCAGAGACCGTGAGTTCAAATAAAACATACACATGCTGCAGCTGTGCATGGATTATGGCTGAAGAAGAAAACATTCATTAGCACTGCTCAGTGCAAAAACAAATGTGATAGCTAATGTGTAAATGCTCCTGAGACATTTCACTGTTTAATTGTTGAATTATGCTGGCTGGTTTTGGTTTTTGTTGATACTTTTTACCACACTGGATCTCTTTTGGGATAAAAAAAAAAAAATGTATGTATATTTTTGATATAAGGTCATCTACGTATGTAATACAAAACTTCAATTTATCCTTCGTTTTGTTATTTTCTTCCGACAGGAACCATATAGCATCCCCCTCCTCTTATTCTCCGTTGTCCAACATGAACAAGATGCATTCACACAGCGGCCTCGGGAAGACGCAGTCCCTCAACCAGATGGTGGGGCACCAACCTCAGCAGCATCCCAATGCCAACCCCACCATTACTCACATGGGTAAGTGTTTACAACACTCTCATGATCTGCCATTAGACCTCTAGCGCATCCAGTGCAAACCCAGTGAGGCACAGTTCCTGATCATTCCTCTCTTCCCCTTAGGTCCGAGCATGCTCAACAGCAACCACATGCAGGGTAACGGTGACATGAACAGTGGCCACAGCAGTCAGAATATAGTGTCTGCTTCCCACTGCAGCCCGCCACCTTATAACCCTGACCCCAGCCTTGTCAGGTACCTCACCCTGCAGTGACACTCCTTCTTTAGCCAACTGTAAAAGGCCAGCCGGCAGTCAGATGCACTTGTTGGGTTAAATGTGAAATAGTGGGATGTTGATGCTTCAGTAGTTACTTTTTCTTTTTTTGGCCATGTTTAAGTTTACTTTTTGCCAGGTGATGTCTAAATGTAGACAGTTTGGTGTGACTATGGCTGCTTTACAAAAGCTTGCAATGACAATGCAAATCTCTTTACCTTATAACTGCCGCCATAATGAAGGTCCAGCTTTTAAAAATATATATTCATATTTTTTTTTCTATTATTATTATTCTCTCCCCATAATTTGGCCGTCGTATCGTCTAGCATTCTGCACCCACTATGGAACTGATTTTAAAATGCTTTGTGGCGACCACGGAGGCACAAACCTAAAACATCAAAATGTCTGTTTATGTAGCACAGCCGGTCAAGAGGTGTTGACCTTCATTATGCCTGCAATAGCATTTTGTCGCTGTCGGGCAAAAACTTTGTGTCTCTATTTTCAATTTTGTTGTGAGAATCAACTCAGTTGTTGCTCTCACTCTCCATTCCTCTCTGTGGTTCCATTGATAATTACTGAAATGCATCGATGAGCATGTCACATGTGAGTTAATTTACATTTCCTGTAAAGGTCAATTTTTTTTGGAGTTATGAAATTTCTGTCCGACAGCAACGATTTATTATTAGTTACGAACTTAGATCTAAAATCCTTCATTTTGTTACTGTGTATACAGTCTGGCTTTGCAATGCACTACTGCTATTTTTCTATAAAGGAAATGTTTAAGTTGTATTAATTTAAAGCTTTTTTTCCACGTTCTTTTTTTTATATATTTTGTTGAGGATAATGTGTCAGTGCAGTCCCTGGTCTTTAAGATATATTTGACAGTTTTGATACACCATCCTTTTGGTTTTTTTGGGGGTGGGGGGGCTGTTTTGAATATTTGAACAGTTACAATGTACAGTCAAACTCTTTTTACAACCTCTTTGTATTACCAAGACTTTTAACATTTCATGTATTTATAATAAAGGTTTTTCAGCAAATCAAGAATGTCCTCATGAATCATTAATACAAATGCATGTGTATGCTCTTGCTTCCACCGCATCTATCATGCCGTGTAACTTTGCATAAGCACTCGATAACAGAGTTGTGCAGTAAATCTGTCACTCAGTCTCAAAATAAATGCAGAAATAAAAATAAATAATGATAAACAATTGAGCAAAGAAAAATTGACACAAAATTATAAAAATTGTGTACTTCTACAGTCTTATTAAATCAAATATAGTCAGTAAGGTAAAGTTTTGATGTTCCTCGTTCTGCTAAGGAATAATTATAGTTTACAATAGTGTTTAAATAATTAATGCTCATATTTTAGTCCTTCCTTCAGCTGTAGTTTTGGTCTAAGAAGCCCTGCTTTTCTTTCCATACAGTTTTCTCACCAGTCTGGGTTGTCAGAACTTCATTGAGTACTTCACCTCACAAGGCCTCCAGTCTGTCTACCATCTCCAAACCCTTACAATGGAGGTAACTACTCTGAAATTAATCATTTACCTGACACACCTTTATGGATTTGGCTTTATAGAAAAGAAAAAGAAATCAAGCAAAGAGCACAGCACAACAAAAACACTAAACCTGCAATTTGCTTAATAGCTGACGTAAAGTCTCATTGCTTTAAATGTTGTCACTCCCCATAAACACATTTTTATTCAACCACAAGAGGGCACTGTAATTATTCTGCTTTGTGCTTTTGCGTTATTACAATTTTACATTCTTGTCTGTGCCTTCCCCAGGATCTAGGTGCGCTGAAGATACCCGAGCAGTCTCGCCTTGCAATCTGGCGAGGTCTGCAGGACATGAAGCAAGGAGCTGTTCATCAGCTTCCCAACTCCACCCATCACCACGAATACCACGGCCAGCAGCTACTTCGCTCCAGCAGCAACATGGCAGCCTCGGCGATGGCAGCCATCGGGGCCGCAGGCGGGGAGCTGCAACGTCAGCGAGTCATGGAGGCTGTGCACTTTCGTGTCCGCCACACCATCACAATCCCCAACAGGCCTGGCGTTGTGGGGCCATCGGGGATGACCCCAGCTCCTGATGAATGGGCTGACTTTGGTTTTGACATGCCTGACTGCAAAGAGTCCCGAAGCAAGCATTCCATCAAGGAGGAATTCATGGAGAGCGATGTTCACTGAGACTGCACTTTTCTTTTTTTCTTTTTTTTTATGTCAACATAATTAATTGCTTGTTTGTGCTCCATCAGGATGTCTGGTGGTTTCGAAAGTTCTGATCTTTCCCAAAGAATTAACGTCCATTTAAATTGTTGGATTATTCTCAATAGCTTTAAAAATGATTTTCCTCCCAGGATAATTCCACACATGCGAAGTAAATTACAGATATAACCATGACTTTTTAAACAGTATACCTACAACTGTTTTTTTTTTGTTTGTTTTTTTTTTTCCCCGGTCATAATGTTCACATGTAGAAAGCCAGCCACCAGTTTGCAAGTTTTACGGAGTATTTTTATTTGTTTGCATGTAATTTCTTCTCAGCTAAATTATTTATTTTATTTTCAGTTTTTTTCCTAACTTGTACAAATGTATATAGAGTATGTTGTAAATGTTTTGGAATAGATGTGGGTAAGAGTATTTAGATTCTAAATGATGCCGTATGAACCAAATGTTTAGGACTGAATAGTAAGTCAATGCTATGGCTACAATACCACAGTTATGTATTTTTTTTATTAACTATGACAACATGAATAACTTTTAATTGAATATGTTATTCATTATGTTGGCTTCAGCTTTACTTGTGTATATGTTAACAAGTGTTATGGCTTTTACTATTTAATATGCTGTAGAAAATACTGTGCTTGTCCTTTATTTTAGTAACATATCCACAAACAGCAGAAAAAAACAAAGCTTCTGAAACAGTATTATATTCAAATGACTGGATTTTAATTTGTTGTGTAAATAATAAATTAAGAATAAGATCCTTGTTCATCAAGATGGATTTTCAGAGTAGCTTGAAAGTCCTTGCAGCGTAAGGTTGCCATGTGTTGAGTACTGCAAGAATAGCTAGTCTTAAACCATTCTTCAATTATACAAAGACTGAAAACCTTTCCTCAAAGCCCTTTTAGTATACTAAATGAATGCCCAGTTACTCAAGGGAAAAATATTAAGAAGAAAAGAAGATGGCTTAAGACATTTTCAAAGCTTTTTTTATTTGTGTGTGTGTGTCTTTATGGTTCTTTTTTATGACTGCATTCCAGTTTTTGTGTCGATTTCAAACCAACAACAAAAAATTGTTTGATACCATCACATTTATGTGCAGAACTTTGGTCTGCACCAAAATAAAAACCTAATTTACAGCCAATTTCTAAAATCCTTAGTAAATGGCTTCTTTTTGAAGACTCCTCAGTGAGAAACATAATGTTACCTACTCACCACTGCATGGTCTAAGAACAAGCACTTTAATGCTTTAAAGTTAAATGTCCAAATGATCAGTATTAGGTAAATGAAATTTCAAAATGTAAATAAAAATGTTTTGCTTAAATATTCTGATCAAATATCCTTTCTCTTTTGTACTAGTTTTGTAAAGCGATGTAAGATGTTCTTCAGTGTATTTTGCTAAACACAGTGTTTTTCTTTAAATCATCATTTTAAATATTTCCCCTCCTTAATGTCTCTCCTTATTATACTAATAAAGAGTTTCAACTCGCATGTCAAGTTTTCAAATATTTTCTCATTACTGTATATTGAGTGATATTATGCAAATATCCATAATTTTATATATATATAAAAATTCCCCTCTCACCCTCCGTGGGTGGTCTCTTTCATCCTCTGAGCTTGGGTCCTCTACCACAGGCCTGGGAGCTTGAGGGTTCTGCGCAGTATCTTGGCTGTGCCTAGAACTGCACATTTCTGGACTGAGATGTCTGATGTTGTTCCTGGGATCTGTTTGAGCCACTGCTCCAGTTTGGGGGTGACTTCCCCGAGGACCACAGGCACCACTGTGGTCTTCACCTTCCAGGCCTTCTCCAGTTCCTCTCTGAGGCCCTGGTATTTCTCCAGTTTCTCCTTTTTCCTGATGTTGTGGTCACTTGGTATTGCTACAGCCACAACGGCTTTCCTCTGTTCTTTATCCACCACCACAATGTCCGGTTGGTTCGCCATTACCATTATATATATATATATATATATATATGTATATATATATATATATATATATATATATATATATATATATATATATATATATATATATATATATATATATGAGAGAGAGAAATGAATGAAGCAAATTAAGATTTCTTTAAGTTAGGCGACAAGTATATTTGAGTGTTTAACCTGTATTTTACAAGTTAGATACAAGTTATTTAACATTATATAAGTTAAATAATTTAATGCAAGTTAAATACTAATAACTAGGTGGTCATTTTGTGGGTGATAGAATTAGGTGGAAGAAGATAGACCAGGAAAAAATTTCACCAGTAGATATGAATCCTTCCATCAATCATCTATAGCCCCTCGTCCTTGCGGCGTCGCGGGGTGCTGGTGTCCTTTTCCAGCAGTCATTGGGCGACAGGCTGTGTAGAAAGTATGAATGAGCGTTGAAGTCGGTGATTATATGTTATAATGGCCTGCCATACTTGAATGCCCTCTTGTTCGCGGAAGTACTGACGTGTTCACACGAGAAGTGGCTAGTGTAGCTAGCTAGGTAGAGCCGGGTAGTGACTCAGAGGCCATATCAGGTAAGAAATTACTGTCATTGTTGTTTTTCGTTATAATTGCCAGCACCACCGAGCCACAGTAAGGTGGAATACATATGCTGTTCAGACGTAAAAATGTTTCGTTATTATTTGGACATAAACGTGTTCAATAGAGAAAACTGCTTTTCTAAACATGCTAAAAAAAACTAGCTTCGGAACCGCTGGTAACGTAGAAACGGATCACAGGAAGTGAGTTGTCCAGTTTTCACATTCACTGCTGGTATTTGTAGTTCTTAGTAGTCTTTTAACAGGCTCCCACCACGAAACAAGAAGCTGTGATGAACTACACGTACTTTCGAGGTGCTGCAATCACCTTTGCTTAGGAATTGTGGGAAATGTAGGTAGATGACGTTGCTTTCTGAACGATTGTATGTAGCGTAGTCTCTTACAAGAACTACATAACCCATACCGGCTAAAATTTGGACCAAAGGGTAACGTACATTTACATGTCTAGTTAGCTATTTCTAGAGCTAATTTTTAAGCTAAGCTTTAAGCTGTTTCAGATTTATGTCACAAATGAAATGTCATTCACACTTATTCGATGTACATTCCCTGTGAATCTGTTTACATCGACAAAACCCAGCGCTGGTTAGCTTGTAATTAAACAAATCTTTGCTAGCCACAACCAGGAACAGTTTCCCACGGTTTTTCAAATCAGCTTGTATGTTAATGTTAAAATATATTAGTTAAAATAATATATTCTTTAGTTGCTCTGAAAATACTTCTCTCTTGATATTAGTAAACAATATACTACGTAAACGTAAGCTTCAGTAAGGTAGAACTGGTAACTAGCACTAGCAACAGAAGTCATTCTCCATTTATCAGTCGATTAATTTCCTGATTACGTTTTTTAGTATCCATCTATAAACCCATGGTAATACTAAAGATTTTTCTTTAAGTCGTATTTGTTAGACATGGAAGATCGCATTTCACAATCTAGTCTCTCCCACATGTCTGTCTATTGCTAAACTTTAAACTCTCAAGGAATTGGTTACAAGTACTTATAATGGGAATGTTAACAAACTCTTCACAGGAGTTGTATGTCAAAGAAACAATTTATTCTGAGTGAGCATTAAAAGTACCTTCAGACCACACTAAAATCATGTGTTTTAAAACAGTGTTTCCCAACCCTGGTCCTCAAGGCCCACTGTCCTACATGTTTTAGAGGTTTCCCTGCTCAGAAAACGGCTGTTAATCAGTCATCCATTGAAATCAGCTGGGCTGAAGGAAGGAAATACCTAAAACATGCAGGGCAGTGTGCCTTTAGGACCAGGGTTGGGAAACACTGTTTTAAAAGATGAAATTCTGGGGTAATTTATGCCTCTCAGTTTATATTGAAACTTGTGACCTAATATCACCAAATGTGAACGACATGGAATAGTTGTTTGGTTCAGCCGAAAGATCATGTTCTTTATTGTTGAGTATATTTTTACATTTTAAAAAAACTACAGATGTAGTCTGCTGCATCTCTTTTTTTATGCGACATACACCATGATAGTTAAATTTCATTTGCCAATAGAAACTGGACTTTGTGTGAGCTAATCAGTCACTTGATGATGTATCAAAGTGAGATTTTAAATATGGGTACTTGAAAACTTAATGCTAGGTTAGTTATAAAATTCAGCTCCTCTGAAGGTAAATCAAACTTCCATTTTGCTAGAGCAAACTTCAACAGTATTATTAACTGGAACAAAACAAAGTTAAATAATTAATATGTAGGTAAGTTTACATTTTCAACAATTATCAAACCTGCAGCATGCAAGAGCAAATGAAAAGCTGTTTTTGAGGTTGCTATGAGACCAGTAGTATTCATATGAATCACCAATACCTCCAATAATGAAAATGTTTTTCTGGTTTATGGCAGGATGTCAGAAGGGGACAGTGTTGGAGAATCAATCCATGGGAAACCATCTGTAGTTGCTGCCTTTTTCACTGGGGTTGGAACGGTGACTATGATTTAGTTCACACACGTCACTGATATTAACTTAGCGGCATTGTTAATATTTGCTGACAAAAATTCCTTCAATTTTCAACAGGTCTATCAGACATGGCTTGACAAGTCAACACCCTTCTATGCGGTGCGGTGGGCGCTCACTCTACTACTTACTGCAATCTACATGATCAGAGTGTACATACTACAGGTGATTATTATCCCTGTTTTCTCCCAAAATCAGAATGTGCATATCGTGTTGATTAAAAGGAACTCCTATTTCCATACACATATGTATTACCATTAAAACTTTTTTGGAACTTTTACTTGTATATTTTTTTTAAAATACTTTCAAAATCCAGATTCACCTTGACAAAACCTTGATTGCAAAAAACAGCTATGAGAATCTATTTCTCCTGTGCGTCCAGTGATCATCGGTTGGGGTACATTTGATTAACACATTTTCTGTCTTTCTGGGAGTTTTTTATGTTTTGTTCTTGTGTTGCTTTCCAGGGGTGGTATATAGTAACTTACGCTTTGGGAATCTACCACCTCAACCTGTTCATTGCATTTCTGTCGCCAAAAGTGGATCCTTCTTTACTTGATGAAGGCAAGTGGACACTTATATTCATAACATTTTGTTGTGTTGTGTGCTTTTGTACTAAACAACAAAGTATCTGCTAAGTTTATTCAATATCGACTTTTTGCTACTTTCCAATGTGATTTAAATTTATTGTAAAATTGGTTTCAGTATCAATAAGTGCCACAAAGACCCTTTCTATATGCTGTTTGTTGTTTTGGATCCTTGTTAAAGCCTTTGGAAAGCAGAGTGTAACTTATTTCTCTTGTAGATGAGGGCCCATCCCTTCCAACCAAGCAGAACGAGGAGTTCCGCCCTTTCATCAGGAGGTTGCCTGAATTTAAATTCTGGTAAGAGTTCAGCTCTAGGTCTGGCTTTGTGCTGTGATTGCTCAACAGGGATGGGCAAATCACGTTTTATTTTAGAATTATCTGTGTGGCAACAGATTTAATCACACAAAATCTGTTTGGAGGAACATGATGACAGAAGAAACGAGTGAAACTTGAACATGAATAATTTAGACGC